TTTTTAAATATATTTAACATTTTAAATTATTTTTTGATGCTTCCAATACCTTAAATTGCTAAAAGTAAAATTACATTAAATAATATTTTAGGGCATTAAATGTATCTAACTATCTAAGATAATATTTTAAAATACTAGATATACCATTAAATACTTTAAAAAATGTTATGCCAAAACACACACACACACATATTAGCTTGTTGCCCAAAACTTCAGGCGCGTTTGCAGTGCTCATAGGAGATTCAAACACGCTGAAAGCCATGAGGTTGAATGTTTCCAAGCTTGGAGTTAGGTACAGATTTTCATGGATAGTTACTTTCGTTTCAAAGTCGTATGGAAGTATCATAGCGTGATAATAGCTTTTCCGCAAGAGGGCTGAGCTCATGCCACTTTCATATGTTGACTATCCACCTCACGCCCCCTTTTGGTAGGATCTTTATCTTTGAATCGGTCCAACGGGATTTTTTTTTGGTTGAAAAAACAGTACTTACTGGTAAGTCAAAGTTAGTGTTATTAATTAGACAAGTTTGTCCTTCAAACCATGAATAAAAAAAAGCATCATTATGTACTTCAAATAGAATGTACATTTTATCATCATCAAATGATGTGTTGAAGTTGGGTAACATACGGAATAAATGGATTATTAATAGGCCCGAGACAATTCGATGGATCGGGCCAGACACAATCCTTGAGTCCATGGAGAAAACATTTGAGCAGATAAGTCATTTAAATAGATCAATAAGACACTAACTAACAAGAGTTAGTCTAGTTAGAAAAAAAAAAAAAGAATCGGCTTATAATTCATATAATTGTGAGTTTGTATTTTGCTCCTGATATTAAGACCTTATTGATGAATGATCTGTAAGTGCTTCTATAAGTACTCTCTAAACTTGAGAGTATATCCTGATCTTGATAAACGTTAAGACTCAACTCACATAAAATAATTGTTATGTAACAAAAAAAAAACACTAAGAGGGACGTGATTGTACTTTTTTGGACTGCCTCCCTGTTCTGGAATCATGCACCATTTGAATTTAAAATTTCTCCTCTTCAAAATAATTTTAAGCCAAAAGTGAGAGCTCCTAGTGTAACAACAACAGCAACAACAATAACAAAAAATTGAGCAACCAACAAATGCCAGCTTGAAAAGTGACTCATATTTAATGCTTAATAGTTTTTTAAATAGAATTGTCTTCAATAAAATACTTATTTTTTTGATTTTATATTTATGTAATTTTTGTTAAGAAGAGAAATATATGAGAATGATTTGTAAATATAAATAGAGAAAACTTTAATAAAAATTAAATTAAAATTTTTTTTGTCGGTTTAATATATTTATTGACATGTGATATTATATTACAAGCAATTTATATTAATAACAGGAGTAGTACAAGTAATATTCTCTCACACTGAGTTAGTCTTATAGGAAGGGCAGAGGAGCTGATCCTCTTGACGAGAGCAGTGATTGAAAGTTTGCTTGGAAGTGGGCTGGTTTAGGCACTTTGTTTTCACGATTAATATGAATTTAAATGGTTGGAAAAAGGGTTCAATTTCTCTTCGTAAACTTGATACATTTACAAAAGAAAAATAATCCCACTTCTCTGCTCCAAAAAAAATCAAATAATTTTTTTACCCTTCCCCCTTATTTCTCATATCTTCTTACTTTGAAAAACACCAAAAATTTTTTTCAACAAAATAGACTAATAAAAAATTTACGACAAATAATCCAGGAAATTAGGGTAACAACTACGATGAAAGTATTAGCATTTGTCAAACAAGAAAAGTATAAATTATAACATAACTATATTTTTAATAAGAAATGAGAAATGAAAAAAAGACACTTAGATGAGGGTATAAAATTCAACTTTTTAATAGCTCCTTTATGCATTGTTTGGTTGGAAGGTTTTGGAAGGAATGAAGAGAGAGGAGATAAGAAGATGTATTTGGTTTGGAAAAATGGAGGGGAGGGGAGGAAATTTTTTTTTTTTTTGTCTTTTAGTACTTCCCTTCTTTCTTTTCACTCCCCTTCAAATTTAAGATTTTTTGAAGGAAAGAAAAATATTATGTCTCACTTTAACTAAATTATCTACGTCAGTTTTTAAATATTTCAAATTTATCCTTTTAAGTAAAAACTTTTTATAACTCTTTTGGCTGCTATTCTTTTTAAATTCTAAGTTTATCCTTTTTAGTAAAAACCTTTTTAAATAATATTTGACAATGATGATATAATATTTTTATCATGATTGTACTCTTGTTCTTAATACAATATGACAAGTATATATTTTTTATGATATGTACATTTGATAATGATGATATAATATTTTTCATGATATGTATATATTTTATAGATATGTAATTATTTTGTACATGTGAGATAACTAGTTTTTTTTTATATTCATAAATTAGAAAATAATAATTTTGATATAAATATATAAATAAATCAATAAAGAAATAAGAACATATTTGTCAACTTATAATTAGTTCTCTTCTTCTCCTCTTCTGAACCAAACAAAAAACCTTTCCTAATCTTCCTTCTCTTCCAACCAACCAACACTCATAACCTTCTCTCACTTCCACTCGCCTTTACCCCTCTTCCCTCCCTTCCATTGGACCAAACAAAGCCTCAAGATATCATTAAAATATCTTCACTCTTTTCTCCTCGAACCAAATCAAACAAAAGTATTACTAGAATTTTCCTTCTCTTCTTCTGCACAGAAAATTGACATTCAATTTTGGTCGCTTGTTGCTTCTCTTTTTGCATTCTGCCTCTTCTTGTTTTGTAGCCCGAGTTGTAAAGTCATACATGAAATGAAAGAGACCTTTCATGAATAATCCCAAAAAAATTTTAAAAAAAATGACGAGGAATAGTGTAGGCCAAAAATTAGATTCAGACCTTTTTATGTATATCAACATCACATTTTATAAACCAATAAGGTTGAATCTAACAAAAAAGTAGAATAACTTCTTATAATATGACGAACTAAAGTTTTAGTTCTTATTGAAAATATAGTCACAGCTAGTATCCGACAATTATGATTTATGAATATGAAGTAAGTAGATAAAGAGAATTTTGTCTCGGATAAAACATGTTTACATGTACTTAAATATATGCAAATAAGCCCTTAATTTACCAATTCATAAGCCATTCAGGGCAATTGTGGTAGGACACAAGTTTAATTTCATGCATTCCCACATATTCAACACCTTCATGGTTCTCGGGGTCAACCGATATATAGTTCTGCAAAATCATTACTTTCTCCATTCAATTTCTCTTGGAAACGTGTTTCACATCTATCACCATAATTTCTATTCTATTTCCTGCGTTATTTGTTGCTTTGTTGATCCTTCTACTTCATGTTCCACCTTTAATTTTGGAAATTATCACATGTAGAAATGTGAGCGATCTTTTCCCATTTTATGGATTAGGGAATTACTTTAATCTCATCTTTAAATAGAGAGAAAAAACAAGGAAAGGAAAAACAAAAAGAAAATGGTTAAAAGTTCATGCTTAAAAAATTAATTGGACATGGATAGTTGAAATTTGTTTCAGGACTTATGTACGATCTATTTTTACTCGCGCGTAACCTTGTGCAATCTATTTGGATTGTATGTACCACTTATGGATTTGGAATTTTTAGGCAGCTTTGCACAATTATTTTTTTTAATCAAAGACTTTTAACCAATTGTTTAAAAAAAGTAGAAAATACAAGAGAGAAAATAACCTTTTCCCCCTTATTTAGATAACTAGATAAAATAATAAAGAAAGAAAAATGGGGCATTAATACTCCCCTTTTTTTTTACTCAAAAATGAAAAAAATTAACGTAAAAGCATTATTTTCAAAATCGCCCCACATAAAAGAAAAGAGGCAACAATAAAGCTTTTTTTTTTTTTTCATGTGAGAATTATTGTTATAATAAAATTAGTTACTCCTCCTATCCTTAATATAAGGTCGAATTATTAAGTTAGTTTTGGTCCTAAATATAAGATCCATTTATCATATTTATCAATTTTCTCTAAATTACCCATATAGATACTCTCTTAATCATAATCAAGTAGAAGAGGAAGAAAGGTATTAAGAAAGATGATTATGATATTTTAAGAAAAACGTATTACATTTCTTATAATTAACTAACTTACCTAACCTCCTTAATCTAATCAAACTAGTTAAATGGGTCTTATATTAAGGACCGGAGGATTACTATTTTCGGTCCTAATTATAAGAGTTAGTTGACTAATTTGATAAGATTAAAAAAAGAAGTTAAGCTAGTTATTTGTAATAAATATGTGTTGTCTTTCCTAAAATATCTTTACTAACCAAGTGTATTGGTTAGAATTGCCATTGTTAAATAGATTGTCTTGAAAAAAATGTATAAATATTAGAAATAAAATAGATTAGGGTCTTATATTTAAGATCAAAATAAAAATTAAACAAAATTTTATACTCCTCCGGTCCTTAATATAGGACCCAATTTTTGAGTTGATTTTTGTTTTAAATATAAGACCCATTTCTCATATTTATTAATTTTCTCTAAATTACCCCTATGTATACTCCCTCAACCATAATTAAGTAAAAGAAGGAGAGAAGGTATTAAGAAAGATGATTATGGTGTTTTAGGAAAAATGTGTCACTTTTTTTATAATTAACTAACTTACCTAACTTTCTTAATTTAATCAAATTAGTTAAATGAGTCTTATATTAAGGATTGAAAGAATATTAAAAATCGAAAATAGTACTTTATAAAGAGATTCAGTTTCTTTTTTAAAAGTAAGAAAAGATCTCCCTGTCAGCTTGTTTATTTGATGTCAAATATTTCAACTTCGTGACAACCCACTGATTTAGCACTAATGACTAAACAAGACACGTTCTCTCATACTTTTCAATATTTGATTGAAGTGTCTTGCCTCGGAAATTGACGAAATCCAATAAATAAGTAAATAATTAAATTAAATTAAATACAAACAGACTGTGATTGGGGAAGACGATACTTCGAAGAAGTTTCCCTGGCGACTTCTCACGTAGTGGTGGCCGTACAGGTGGATGCTCCTATATCACCGCCATCTTCCTTCCTCCTTTCTTCTTCTTAGTATCTCTCTCGCAGAGACGATCCTGACACACTAACTTCTCTAACTGACGGGGCATGAGAGAGATACAGCAAGCAGAGCCCACAGATACTCTTTGTGCAGCAGAGACTAGAGCTGGCTCACTGGATTTGTCTCTTCTTTTCTCCCTTATCTCGGATTTCTCGCCAGAGTTGGATCCATCTTGAAGATCTTCCCTCTTCAAATCCAATATTTTTTCCCAGGTAACTCCGTCTACGTTGGTTTCTCTGATGTAGTTTGTGTCTTTTTGATTCCGTTCACCTCACCTGCTGCTCATGGCTTATGATAGAATACTATCATGTATTCATATAGTGCTTCGCCTCGAGCTTATCGTCTTGATTTGCTTGGTTTTGATGCTTTATTCATATCCTTAGCCCTTTTTCTGCTGATCTTATATTTGTTCTTTGTTTGGCCACGAGCCTCTTGTAATCAACTGCAACTTTAATTCTTTGGAGCTGTCCGGAGTTTGTAAATATGGGGTCGTGATCAAATGAATAAGTAAAGTTGAAGACATCTGATATGCTGCCTAACTACCCATCAAAAGTTCCAAAAGACTAAATTACTCGCAGTATTCTCTTGGGGGGGGGGGGAACAAATTTGATAACGTACTCTACTGTAAATTGCTGATCATGTACCGCATGTTCCTTTTTTTTTTTTTTGCCCCCATGAAATTGTTTTCCGCGAGATTCTGTTTATATATTGTCAATTGTATAACTTTCTCACTGAGGGGATTTTGTCAAAAAATATTCAACGTCTTTCTTGGTACATATTAGCTGATTCTAACCAGTTAGCCGCCTTTGCATGCAGATGGGGTCTGTAGAGAAGGTAGACCTTGATTTTGATGAGGAGGTCCCTTTTAGCTCCTCAACAAACCCGGGGAAAGTCCATGCTTTTCAATCTGAGACAACTAATAATATGCTTTCTTCCGTAAATTTGGCCAGCTCATCCATCTTCAAGCAAGTGGGGATAAAACCCATCAGGAGCATATACATTGTCTTAATTAAAGCGAAGATCAACATGTTGCTACCTTTTGGTCCCTTAGCCATATTGCTACATTATCTAACAGGAAAACATGTACGGATCACTTCTCAATCTTCCTTGTTGGCATTTGGTATTTATAAGGCAAAACTGTGATAGAGTTAGGAAGAGTGAAATATGAACATTGAAATATGAATCAAATTTTGATTGAAAAACCTACCGATCATCTCAATCTTGCTTCCTCCTCCTCGCCTGGGTGTGTATGGGATCAGTAGAAAGGATTTGTAACTTCATTTCTTCCTATTTCATTCATTGATGGTTATTTCTTGTGTTAGGGATGGGTGTTCTTCTTCGCCTTACTGGGTATTACTCCTCTGGCGGAACGTCTGGGTTATGCTACTGAGTAAGTGCTTTCCTGTTTAATGGAATCTTGTGTTTACTTGATTTCTTTATCACCTTTATTACAATCTACTACTAACAGACCTATCTACTAATCTTTTTGGTGCAGGCAGCTTGCATTTTTCACAGGACCAACAGGTATGGTTAGTTGTTATATTATAGGTTTTATTTAATTATAAAAAAGAAGTTATATGGTCAAATTTTGAATATATATGACAAAATAAATGGGAGCTAAGTTTGTACAGACTTGTATTTAGTTATTACTAAGACATCGTGAACTGTATTGTAATTGAGCGTTCAATTTGCTGCCAATAGTGCCTATTCCTTAGGGTCTATGAAAATGATAGCTTTGTTGACAATAAATTTTAATTCCCACATAGTTTCTATTCCTAATTTTCTCTTTGATATGTTGTAGTTATTCTTTTATTATTCGGCTTCTGTTATATTGCCCTTAGTGTATGTCAATTGATTTGAAATTTGGTGGTTTGTGCAGTTGGGGGTTTGCTAAATGCCACATTTGGAAATGCAACTGAAATGATTATATCAATTTATGCTTTGAAAAATGGGATGATTAGGGTTGTTCAGCAATCTTTACTGGGTTCAATCTTGTCAAATATGCTTCTTGTTCTGGGATGTGCATTCTTTACCGGTGGGATTGTCCACTACGAAAAGGTTCAGGTTTTTGACAAGGTATTCGTCATGACCTAATTATGGTTTCAAATCCTGTTTTTGGCCATTTTTGTCCTCTTGATGTTCCATAGGTCACATTGTAATTGACCTTTGCAACAGGCACCTGCTGTTGTGAATTCGGGATTGCTATTGATGGCTGTAATGGGAATACTGTTCCCTGCCGTCCTTCACTTTACTCACTCAGAGGTTCACTTTGGCAAGTCAGAGCTTGCTCTATCCAGATTTAGTAGCTGTATAATGCTAATAGCATATGCTAGCTACCTTTTCTTTCAACTAAGAAGTCATCACAATAATTATAGTTCACTTGAAGAGGTTAGTGCTTATTGTCATAAAATATTTCTTTTGGCTTCTTGTCAAGCTTTGCGATGTAAGATTGTTTTGTTAGAAAAGACAACCCATGTTATATCGTTCAGTCGCTTTTTTCATTTGAACAGATAATATGTATTTGCTAGTCGCCATTTTACTAGTAAGGGAATTATTTATTATCATATGGGTTTAGAGTATGAAAGATATATTTATCTGTATCAGGTGCCACTTTCAAGACACACCTGAAAAGAAGTGATGTATGTTTTATCTGGTTACTTGATTTAAATATGCCAATTAATTAAGAATATTGCCATCTTCCATGAGAAGGTGAGAGGAGAATTAATAATTAAATAAAAATAATAATAAATTAAAGAAATCAAGGAAGAAAATGGAAGAATTGACTAAGAAGGCAGTGTGTGAGATGTAGGATTTTGCTTAAATTTTGTGTTTATTCTTGTAAGATGGTAGGATCGCTCAGGACTCGAATCAATATGGTTTGTTTGATGAAATTCAGAGTATACATTATCATTAATTTCTTTGAGATTTATGCATGATGAAGGTATATGGCTTTATATTGTGGGAGTTGTCAGTGGGAACATTTTTTTTTCCATCCTCTTTCCTATACCTGAAAATTGAAAAATTTTCTTTTACTTGCTCATTTTTTGACGGGCTATTTGTTTTGAAGATTTTGTTTGATAGACAATAAAGATGCTTGATATTTATTTTCAGTTGAAAAAGATTTTATGCAAGTGTACTTGTTTAAATGTAGGAAGGAGATGGTAATGAAAATCCTGATGAGGAAGAAGAATGTGAATTAACAAAATGGGAGGCGATAGGCTGGCTTGCTATTTTGACAGCATGGGTTTCTATTTTGTCTGGATATCTTGTTGATGCCATAGAGGTATATTTATCTTAGACACATGATCATTATGCTTCTGTTATTTATCTCCTCAATGTCTATACTTTTGTGATGTTGAGTTCTGGCGTATATAATTATTTTCTTAATATTGACATTTTTCCTTGATACTGTTTTAACTTTCTAGTAAGGTTGTTTCTGCCTCTCACAGCACAAAATGGAGGAAACTTTGTCATAAAACTAATACCCTTGTTCCTTTATGGCTACAACCATATATGGTCTAGCTTCTGAGAAAGTTGTCCTAGTGCAACTCTTTGATCTTTAGCATTGAAGTGTCTGGGATGATTTTATATTCTCTTCATCATTACATATAGACGAATGGTAGCATTTTGATCTTAAATTTAATTTCCCACAGAATCAGTGGTTGAGGTGTTTATTTCCTTAAAAATCCTATCAGGATTATTCATGGTGTTTTATTATATTTGTTATTTTTAGCTAAGTATTTTCTACTTTGATTATAGCATGAATTCATTTGGCTGTAGTTGAGATGAACCTTCTGCTGCTAAAGTTTAGTGTGGTATGCAGCTAACTAATTAACGTTTATATAGTTAAATGTAATTGCTTTGTGATTACTGATAATTCTTACGAGAGATATACTGTTTGTAATCTGCTGCGTTACTGTCAATGTTTATAGCAGAGAACGCTGATCCTTGTCATTGGCCATTGTGTCTTGGGCTTATTCAGAGATGTGCTGCGTGCTTTGTTTTACTGCAGGGGGCATCTGAGTCATGGAATATACCAGTGGCATTTATAAGTGTCATATTGCTTCCAATTGTAGGAAATGCTGCAGAGCACGCAAGTGCTATCATGTTTGCCATGAAGGACAAGCTTGTGAGTGACTTCCAAAGTCCGCGTTTTAATTTATAGATGCTGTTCAGTTTATTTATGGTGTCAATTTCTCTGCAGGATATTACACTTGGAGTTGCTATTGGATCATCTACTCAGATATCTATGTTTGTGGTATGGTATTACACTGTTATTGTGTTGTGGGATTAAATTTTGTAAACAACAACAACTTCACTATTTCTTGGGAAGAATGTGGTTGACTTTTCAATTTTTCAAACAAGGTTGATGATTTCTATGGTGTTGATAATTGCAGATCCCCTTTTGTGTGGTAGTTGGGTGGTGCATGGGAAAACCAATGGACTTGAATTTCCAACTCTTTGAGACTGCTACACTTTTCATCACCGTGCTTGTTGTCGCATTTATGTCGCAGGTATGTGGTTTTTTATATGTCCCTTGTGGTGTTGTCACTTATTGGTGGTTGTTATTGTTTTCCAGCCTCCTGAAGCCACTCTAGTTGGAAATTAGCACTCTTGTGAGGCATTTTTAGGCGGACAAGTAATTTACTGGTTTAGAGTGAAGGGAGAAATACAAAACAAGTTTTTCTGGAGACAAGAGAAGAAAGAAAGGGAGGAAGACAACAGGCTCTTGAGGACCAGAGTGATATAATAAAAATTTTGAATAATTCAGCTATTACAATGGTCTGATAATAAAACACAAAAACTCTTAACCTGGATGATTTCTTGAAATTTGGGCAAACCAGTTCGCAAAATTGGAAGCCTTTTTTTTATATCTACCTTGATTGTGAATTCTGAATAATCACTATGTGTGTGTTTTAGCAACTTAACATGGCCCAATCATACAATTGATGATTGAAAGCAAAGAACAAAAAGTATTACTCTTCTGGTCCTTAACGTAAGACCTATTTAATTAAATTGATTAGATTAAGGAATTTAGGTAATTAGTTAATTATAAGAAATATGACATGTTTTCCCTAAAACACTATAATGATCTTCTTTGATATTCTCCCTCCCTTTCTTACTCGATTATGGTTGAAGGAGTATCAATAGGGGTAAGGGTAATTTAGAGAAAATTAATAAATATGATAAATAAGTTTTATATTTAGGACCAAGATTAACTCAACAATCAGATCCTGTATTTAGGACCGGAGGAGTAATTTAGATATCATATTTTTTGAAGAATCTTGGAATCTGAAATTTCATTTTGATTAGTAATCCCTTTTTTAAATGCTCATATGTTCATCATTTTGGTGTGTTATGTTTTACTTCTTGCTGCTGTCATTGAAGTTTAACGATAATTATTCTCCAAATTTCCGTCATCCTTGCAGGATGGGACCTCTAATTATTTTAAAGGCTTGATGCTTATTCTATGCTATCTCATTGTTGCGGCCAGTTTCTTCGTACACATGGACCCCAAAAACTCCAAAAACAGTAAGTACTGAACATAGATCGTCACAGATTCACATAATGCTTTACATCATTACAGGCTGGAACCTGGAAGTTTGAATTCCTGCAGTGTTCTTCTTGCTCAGTTTACATTTCCTTTCTTTTTCCTGCCAAAAGTATATTTTGTCACTTGTCACATGCATTAGTGTAAGATAGTATGACTCCATAGACATCAGAATTTTGGACCCCTTCTGCAATCAGCACAACAGCACTGTATAAGCAAGATCCAAAAACTAGAATTTGGACTTCTGCAGTCTGTTAGTCAGTCTTGACTATGGATCTTGTGATGTTAAAATGTTGAGGCTATGTTCTCCAGCTGATAGGAAGATTTATATTAGGCCATATGCTATTAAATGAAGAGGAACCCTTTTGATAATGTTTTAGATTCTTGATATATTTTCAGCATTCGCTGACATTGTGCTTGCGGAATCTGCCAACAGGTGAAGGCGAATAGTGAAAGATTATACAGAGGCTGTGGTGGCTGTGCAGATATGCCTTCCAATTGCAGTACTCAATACACAGAAAAGTTAGGATTGATCTTTGAGAAGTATCAACCATGCGTTCCATATGTTAGGGGAAAGTCCCAATTGATCTTTTGTATAAAATATTTAATTTTGACTTTTGTTTCGCCTCAAAGGTCTGCTTTCTGGGTAAAGTGGCAAACACACCCCCCCCTCCCATAAAAAAAGAACAAAAACAAAAGGGGGGAAAGAAAAACAATACACACACAAACCCTTTTTTCAGCTCTAACTAATCTTTCACTTCCCTTGAGCTTTATGAGAGCAACACTCTATACCCTTGTGGTTTGAATTTTATATCAGTCGCAATCGAACGCCTTCTCCCAAGCGGGGAGGTGCTTTTACGCGGTTCATGAATGTTGCCAATGAAGTAACCCCCCCCCCCCTCTGGGCAACCAATAAAGTAATTTTCTATGGGGTAGACTTGATGGTTAAATTTCCAACCACGTGCAGATAATCTTTTTCAATTTTAAATTTTTTGGGGCCAATTTTCAATTTTAAAATTCGACAAGGAATCCCCCCCCCAAAAACTTTCGAGTTTATGTGAATAATTTTTTTTTATGTCAAATTTGCTCTTTGATGGAGTATAATATGGTGTTGATTATTTATCCTTTTAATATAATTTTTTGTACTATTAATCTCTTCCATCTTTTTAAGTTATGTATAATGAACTTCGTTCAATTTACGAATAAAAACAAAACTTCGATCTAGTTATTTACAAGAAAATTCCTCAATATATAATTTTTTTTTTTTTATGGTGAGGCAATACACATTAGTGTGGAGCCTACTTTTTCTCCTTTTTTTTTTTTAAAACTAAAGTATAGGTATTTTTTTATTGGAAGTAATCATATTCGAAGCACTGTCGAGTATTAAATGTAGACATTTTTCTTAACAAGGATTTAAATCTTAATTAATTCATGTTGTGAGGGGCTAGTTCTTTCAGTTAAATCCAATCTCCGTGGGTTGTTTTCCCTCTCCTAGCGCTAGCTTAACACTCGGCTTTTGGGCTCTGGTTGTTATTGTGATTTCTTTTTTCATGAAATCTAGGATCTAATTTTGTGGGATAGCATGAAATCTCCGAAAAGGTAAAGCAAGGGAGGAATTTTTTTCCATAAAGACATTTCATTATTTTCATTTTCATTTCAATTTAATTATATACAAAAAAATGTCAAGAAATTGAAAGTAAAATTCAAAAGAAATTATTAGAGCTTACATACTTGATTTTGGGCTCTAGTCATTAGGGCTACACTTCGCAAACCACATCGCATGAGAGAAACGAAGCTTTCGGACCTGAGTTCTAAGGGCTTTGTTCATGAAGTTGAGATTACCCTTTTTTTTTCATTGATCCAACCTTTTTTTTTTCATATTACCTTCAATACTTAATATAAGATTTAGTTTGTAGTTTAAATTAAATAAAAATTTAGATTTTATATTATGAATTAAAAATAGTATAAAATTTGGGTGAATTGAATATCAAAAATTTACTAAGATTAGAATACGTCTCCAGATTCAGAAAGCACCTATACGTCAATAAGGTCATCACATTAGCAGCAAAAATTGACTCCTTACCAACTGAAATAACTTTTATTGGCTCCATACTACAATGATGTGTTTCGTGTGACTTACAAATATAAGATGTTGATATTTGATCCAATTAGTGAGAATTCAGTCCATATCCATGTAAATATAAGAGATGGAGTTCAAATACTGCTACCACCACCAATAGCCTCGTGATCCCGTGAAATAAAAGCTTTATGATAACTAGGAGGTTGTAGATTCAATCTTACTTATAATATCAAAATATGAGTATCTATTCCTCTAATTTAAACAAATACCATTACCATTAAATAAGTAATCAAATAAGCATTCTTTAAGGTGTACAAGACTTATTTCAACTTTGGTAATCTCTAAGATTAAGATTATCTAAATTTTCATTAACTTTTTTTTTTCCTGAAAATAAATGACAAAAGGCTAGATTAATATATAGCACCTAATATGTGCCTATAGTAACTCCACGTGTTTAAATGGCAAAACCCAAAACAAAGTCTCCAAAATTGACCCCTCACTACTACTTTAAAGCGGCGTGAAACTTCCTAGAACAACACATGTCACCATCTACCCTATGCTTTTACTTTTGGCCAAAACCTCCATAATTAATCCATTATCACCTTTTCATTACCTTATCATTAGTGTCTTACAGAGAGGCATTTGCCAGAATGCAGCCCCTCCCTCACTTTATTATCCTTTCATTATTGATTTCCTACTTTATCATTGCTTAGATTTTGTTTCACAATAGGTCTAAGTAGGATGAGCCCTAGGATAACCCCACAAATTATGCTATATTTTTGTGCATATATAATTTTTTATATGTATACTTATCTTATATCTAAAACTATCTTGTCTTTTTCAGTCTTACCCACAGTTAATTATGTCTTTATCATCTCTTTTTCATACTTATTTTCTCTCATTTTTCTTCTCACTTATTCTCTCTCCCTCACTTCCTCTATAAATACTGGTATATTTGAAAAATACATTTTTTTTTCTTTCCCACTTATTCTCTCTCTCCCACTTTCTCTATAAATAATGGTATATTTAAAAAAATACATTTTGTTACTTATTTATTATTTTTAACTAACTTCTTAATTTACTTAACTCAGTTATTTGTAATTTGTACTCCCTCCGTTCCTTATTATAAGAGACGAATAATCGAATTACGTTGATAAAAAAAGCAGTTAAAATTAGTTAAGAACAATCAATGTGCAAAAAATATAATTTTTTTCTAAAAATGCCCTCATTAATAAGGAGATAGAGTATGAGAGAGAATAATTAAATTATTGAAAGAAAGAGAAGTGAGAGGGAGAGAGAGTGTGAGTTGGAGACAATAAATATGGATAAAATAGGAAATCAACACAAAAAAGTAGAAACAACTTTTAAGTGTCTCTTATATATAAGAACATGCCATAAGCATCAAATGTCTTATAATAAGGAACGAAGGGAGTAATTTATAAAAAAGATAAAAGAAAACACTATTAGATTAAATTTTGAGTATTGTCAAATCTTATAAAAACTTTTTCAACATTCACATAAACTAGAATTTGAGACCTTGTACTTGGTGCTCATAACTCTTTTCAACTAGGACTTATGCTTATTGGTATTTGTGCAGTAGTATTATTTATTGGTGATAAACACATATAATTAATTGTTACTGGCTGCTAAATAAAACCTATGATTTGTTAGGGATTATTAGGTACACACCGACATAGAGACAATCAATCAAACAGGCATACAGGCAATCAAACAAAGAGTTGAAAATTGAGTCGCACACCGTTTCTCCCAATTCCCTCCTCTTAATTAGTTGAAACTCACAAATAAAAACAAAAAGAAATTGAATTTAAACCATAAAAAGAGGAACTCATTCAATTTCAAAGTTACAAGCTTTTTCCTATTTTCTCCAATTAATTAAGCAAAGACTTTTTTGAGTTTGTCATATACGACCCAAAAGTCCCCTAATTTTCTCCATCGGTCGTTTTCAAGAATATGGCATTTTGCATTTAGTTTAATTCCTAACCTTGACCAACCACACTACCATTTTCTTTCTTCCTTTCTTTTTTCTTTTTTTTAATTTCTGAGTGTCTATTTGCAATTTAATGTGATTATTGAGTGATATAAGCGAGAATATTATATTGCATGCTTCCAATCGTGTTAACAATATTTTTAAGAAAAATTATACTATAAAGTATTTATGAACTACTCAGAGACTCAAAGTGAAATTGTATGCGTGATGATGAGTTCAACCCAAAAAAAAAAAAAACTCAATTAGAATTATAATTTTACACACTCTCGAATCTTTATCATAATACCCTGTCTGATCCTTATGAGATATTAAGGAATGACAATTAAGTGATTAAATTTGTCATAAATCATTTTTTTTTACTTTGTCCCTCTTTAAGTGTAAAATAAGGAGAAAAAAGTAATTAGTGAGACTATTGTAGAATTATATTTGGAATTAAAAATTGCTTTTAAAACATGCCCTATAATAGGGACCAGAGAAAGTAAGCAACTAATAACAAATTTATATTAAATCAGCTATTTTTTATAAAATAACAAAATTGCCTTAATAAAAGTCATTAGATAAAAGAGTTTTGTCAATAAATTATGAAATCTTATAACTAGTCACCGATATTAAGTGGAAAACACTAATATTTTAGATAAAATAGGTAATATTATGAAATAGGTTAGAGTTTGTTGTAATAAAGATAATAATGAGTATCATTAAAATAAAAGTATCCAGTGATTATAAGAGAATCATTCAATAATTACAAAAATTAATCATCAATGATTTATTAATAAAAATCATAGGAGTATGACTGAAGAACCTGAATCAGGATTTTGATATCTTATTTATATATTTATTTTATTTATTTATTGATTATTGATAACGGGTGAATTAGAATTTGATCCGCAAACCTAAGTCCATGATTGAGAGTCGGAGGAGCAACCAAAGTTGACATTTGATCCCTAATTGACCACCTCACCCCCGCTGGTCCCCTCCCTCCGACTATTACTCAGTTTCCTTTTGTGCCCGCCAATCATCCTTATATTATTTTATAATTAATAATTAAGGGTATAAGTATAATTTTACCCATGATCCTTTTTGTGTGCCCGGTAAAATTAAAATTTTTTTTGAATAAAAGTATACTATTAAAAAGATTAAAGGTAAAACTGAACCTTTATCCTATTATAAAATATAAAATAAAAATAATATTCCTCTTGTCTTAAATATAAGACCTCTTTCGTAGTGTAAATTAGACTACAAAAGGCGTCTTATATTTAGAACCGGAGGAGTATTAAAGTAAGTTTTTGATAATTCATTTTGTGTTTTATGCAAAAGCAGAGGCGTCATCCTAATTCTAAATCTAGCCATCT